AAAGGTTAGCATTGATTAAAATTTATTGATAATATATTTTTTTATTTGTGTAGTTTTCGATATGAATTTTAAGTAAATAATTAGCTATTTAGGATAAAAAATCCAATCCATATATTTTACTTGGATTCCTTTTCTAACCACCTGGTTAGTTTTTATAAATTAGAATGAAAATATATACCTTCAATAAATAAATGTAATTTAAATATAATTAAAAATTAGCTTAAAGTTTCAGAGTTTAATCCTTTCCTTTTTAATCTTTTTTAATAATATTTAAATAAATAACTAAATGCAAACAGCTAAGTTAAAATAAAAATATTTATTAAATTCGTCTGTAATTAGATAAGATTAGTATGTTTATCTCAATAAAATTGTTTTTCTAATTTTGACATATCTATAAAGTGACATCTTTTGTAATCGCAGCAAGTGTCAAAATTATCTACTTTATGCAAGTTATGCATAAAGTTGAATATCATGTAACTGGTTATGAGAAGTTCATTATACCACCAATTGTGAATAGAAAACAAAAATAACATTTTTTTCGATTTAAAATTAATATATGCATTGCGTTTGAAAATTTATATCGAGATAAGGTTGCTATATAAAAATTAATTTTGTCAGCGAACTTATGATTATGTATCAATAATAATTCTGGCTTGGTCGTTATTTCAAAGCGTCTTGATCCATAATAAACCTGTACGAAATAATCAAAACACTGTTTCATACAAATGACGACAGTGATATGATTTTATGGATAACAATTAAAATTATCCTTATATTTGTAGTTAGCAGTTATTTTAAACGGTATGTCGATAACTACTACTAAGTTATGCAACTAACAAAGCATATAGAAGTAACATCACTTGCATATAGACAGATTTTTATGTGTCAATTTGAAATTAAAACTATAACCTAAAAGTTTGTTTATATTTCTACTTTGCTAACATTTTGAATCTTTTGTGAAGAAAATGAATCGAGGGTTTTTTGAAAGCACATTCAACTAATTTTCCACGAGATAGCATGACAATGGAGTTTTTATGGAAGTAATATGCATCATTTTATTGCTGAAGCAAAACATTTAAAAATTAAGTTTCATATATTATTTTTAATCGATATTTGGCAATTATTTGTAATTATTCTATTGACTGATTACAAGCGCGAATAATAAACAATAATAGTATTTTAATACCAATTTGCTTCCGAATGCCTACTTAAACGGATACATGGTAAATTTTACGCAAATAGGATTAATAATTTCGATGAGATACCTACAAAATCGGCTTGATAGCACTCTAAGATCAATGAAAGAAATATATTGTGCTAAATGAAGATTGTTGAGAAATAACTAAGAACCAAATAAAAAATAACGATACCTTTTTTCCAGACTAAGGTGTCATTTGTTTAAATGGAACTTACAATAGTCTAGCAAAAAGGTATCGATAAGTTAGGGAAAAGAAAACAAAAAATTTTGAAGACAAATATTTTTTTAATTTTCAATGGCAACTCGTTTCGTTCAAATTGATCGTCAGACAATAAAGTGGTTAAAAAAACGGAAATTTTTTTAGATCGTTTTAGTATTTAAGAGGGTTTTCTTACTTGTATGAGTCCAGTATGAACCAAGCAATTAGGAAGACTTTTATTTGTTCTCTTAAAATTTACTCTTATTTTTGTATGTGTTTTCCAACTATTTAATGATGTCCTAGATTTTAAGACGCCAAAGAATGTCAGCACCTCAGAGGTAAGGTGTGTTATTAAGTCACCAAATCTACATTTGTCAGGAAAGACATTTTAAAGTTCACTATTGTTTTAACAAATGTAAAAAACTGGGAATTTATTAAATATTGGGGTCTTTGCAAAAGTCAATTGTTTGGTTAATTTATTTAAATTTTTTGTTAGATTTTTTACTCTGTCCTGAAATTTTGACTTTGATGTGACAACATTATTAATCTCAAATTTACAACACTTGGTTTGTGACTATGAAGACTAGAGATAAGGAGACGAATCGGCATACTCAAAAATCACTGATCTGTATTATTTTACTGGATAGGATATAGGCTATATTTAACATACTAACAAATCGTTCCACCAAGGAGACCGGAAGTGCAACAATGCTGGCCGATTTGGGCAAATTATGGTGGGTTCACAGAACTGAAATTTGGGATAATTTGACATACCTAACCTATAATTTGATTAGTTTTTCTTCTTATTCTTCTTCTATTCCTTTTGCGGGCGATGTCCTTCGGGAAATTTCACCCATGATTTGATTTTTTATGAAAGAAAATATAAAAATGGAAACGTGAAGCATATTGTGTCTTCAGGAATGAACGTTTATTGTTTATTTCATACTCTTTTTACTTTCTTTTCCACAATAAAAACATCTCATCGTAGCTTGTTCACACAATTTAATGACAAATGTGATGACAAATGGAAATAGAGGTTACGTTAAATAACATCCGGTCCGCCATATTATTTGCCCAAATCGGCCAATTTTTTGGAACGTTTTTTAGGGGGCTATATCCTATCCAGTAAAATAATACAGGTCTGTGTCAAAAATACGTTCCCAAAAAACGCATGCTAATTGAGCTTCTATAATTAACCGCATGGGCGCTGGTACTGCATACGCTGTGTTCAAAATACATCGCTTCTTATGGGAATTATACATAGTGTCAAAATAATAAAAATAATCTTGTTTATAGCTAAATAAAGCACAGAACATACTGTTGTATTTATTTCTAAATAAGTCTTGCATGTTTTAATTGATAAATTATTTAATTTTATCTATATAAAATACAAATTAGGTATGTATAACCAAATTCGAAAAGGTTTCTTAAATGCTGAAATTTGATAAGTACTATTTTGTGGCAAATTTTTTTTGAATTGAATCAATATATAGTTTTAAGAGTAAAATAAAACAACAGATTTTTTATTGTTGTAATACAAGTATAAAGGGAGATTTGGGAATGTACATGGTATTACCTCATCCTTTAATTTCAGCTTTCCCCTTTTTATTTTGCTAACAGTACCATCAGTAAAAATAGTCTCATAATATTTGTTCTTTTAAAAAGTATAGAACAGCATCATCTCTAGAAAGTGCTTTATCGGCACTAGGAACGATATATATGCTGCCACTGTTCTAAACGTTTAGTATCCTATAAAAAACATTTACAATGACACAATTGGGGTCAAAAAAAAATAACAGTAGCAACTCTTTATCTAACATTAAAACTATATAAAAAAATAAATTTTGTTTTCTTGTTAAATTTAATGCATAATTATTGTTGTTTGTAAGTCAGCAACTGTAAAATTTTATATTATAGAAACTTGTAATAAAATAAACTACACTTCGTAAGATACATATTGTGACTAGTTTACAATAAATATTATATTTAGACATGAATACATTATTTTACTTAGATTAGAAGCTTTAAAAAGACATTTTACATTGACTGACATAGAAAATTGACTCCGCTGTCATTAGACATGCCAACTATAGTCAATTTCGCAGACTTTATAAAACGAAGGACGGAAATTTGAAATTTGACCATTGCTGATTCGCCTGCTCCTTCTCTCTAGTCTTCATATTTGTGACCTACCGAGACTTCCGTCATCTTTTAGCGAAATGATGCAACTAGGGAGTTAAATATGTTTTCCACTGATAGAATTTAGTACGGTAAATCCACAAGTGGAGAAAACTCTTTTTTTCTGAAAAATGTGACTTACCTCTGAGATGCTAATTTGTTCTAAAGACTTTTGCCGTTTTATTAAGTACCTACTTTATTGCCTGATAAAGGTTAATTTGACCGAAACTAGTTGCCATTGAAAATTTAAAAAGACAATATTTATGGCTAAGATTTTCAGTTTTCTTTTCCTTAACTGGACTTACCACATTTCAGATAACCTTATTACACTAAAAAAAAATACTCATCCAGTCCAGATACTTAACAAACCAAATATATGAATTTCTTCATTACACCTCTTAATTACAATCCTGATATTCATGAATAAAAAAAAGGGACCAGTAGTATAAAAAGTTTTAACCTTAATAAACATTTTCTTTTTTAAAGATTAATCATCACAAAACTGTGGTTTAAATCAGATTACTTGATGGCCCAAAAACTGTAGGGTTATGAAAGTCAGCAAAGTAGCTACAATTATTATTATAAACTCATAAAGCATTTTAAAATTTAAAGGAAAAATTCCAATTCTCAAATGTAATCAATTTAAAAATAAAAAACAAAGGAAAAAAAAAACTCATAGTCTATGTCACAGAAACATTGAGCGACCGTTTCTCTCCTGATGACAACTACTCCTTTGGTTAATACCGCAAAAGGAAAATAAAGAAAATAATGTTCCAACACTCTAACTTTGATTTTGTTTCCTGAGGAGAACATCATTAGTTAGAGTTAGGGTGCTGAAAATTATTTTCCATCTCTGCTATTTTTCTTTTGATATAATGCATTGCCTGCTGCGATATTAGCCAAAGAATTAGTTGTATTCAGGAGGGATACAATCGCTCGACGTTCCTGTGACATGGACTTTGAGTTTTTTCCTTTGTTTTTATTTTTAAATTTACCCACACATAAAAAACCTTAAAGATATAAATGTCATTATAATAAATGTCTAATAGAGTTTGGTGATATTTCACTAACTGTTATTTAATTATTTTAATTTTGGTAAACTTACATTCTTTACAAGTTTTCTATCCATTTCTTAAATGTTTTTCAGAAAAATATGAACGAATATTTATTTCGTTAATAATTTGATAAAACATAACCTCATTTATTTGAATTCTACTAATCACAGTAATGATTCAAAGTTTTATTGAAAAATCACGTCATCATTCAACTTTTTCTCCGAATTGACGTTGACGTTTCTATCATTAAGGATTTACACTTTAAAATGCTTTGTAAATAAGGTTGTGCAGACAGTGTCCCTTGAGTTGAAGCTAACCACTGAGTTTGATATATTTTATACAACTGGTCTTAAAATATGTATTTTCTAACCTGTCGTTTATCACTTAAATCCGTTTTATTGCCGACAAGCATAATAATAACGTCACTGCCTCTTTCCGTTCTGACATCGTCGATCCATTTCGAAGTTTGATGGAACGAATTCGCATTGGTAATGTCATAGACGACTACAGCTACAGTTGAGTCCCTGATATATGAAGGAATTAAAGATCTGAACCTCTCTTGGCCGGCAGTGTCCCATAGCTGCAGTCTAACCGTTCTATCTTCGAGGTACATTGTTTTCGAAAGGAAATCTATACCTATCGTGGCTTGGTAGGTATTGTCAAAGCTGTCATACATGAATCTAGTGATAAGTGAGGTTTTCCCTACGCTCTGTTCGCCGAGAAAAACTAGTTTGAACTTTCGCAGCGGGTTACCAAAGTCGCCGGACGTTGACATTTTGGAAAAACTGTTTGCCAATTGATTATTAACGACTTTGTTGTATACTCTTCTATTTTGTTAAATTTAGTGACTATACTGAAAAAGAAAAATGTTTTAGCATTCAGTAACATGTCATAAATTTCAAAAAACAAAATATTAGACAACGCAATAAACTCTTTAACTATTAGCAATCAAAAATAAGTGCGCCGCGTGCAATATTTCGGTTTCTTGCCCATAAATAGTAGACATCCATAATATGATTTTTAGCATTTAATAAAAAGATAGTGTTAGATAAATAAATAAATATACATTATGGAAAGATCCATTATTATACATGAATTAAATAAAATAGCTTAAATACATTATAAAAGGTAAGTACAAAAAATCTTAACATTAAATACATGAGATGAAATATACCAAAGTTATTAAAAAGATATTCTCTTCACATCATTCTGGAATTGACTAATTAACACCCAGTGACATCTAAATTGTATTGATTAGCCAGTCTCATTAGTTTAGGTAGGGACGCATGATAAGCATAATTAGTGAGGTGAAGTTGAATTGCAAATAGACTACTATTCCTTGTAGTTCTTGTAGAAACTCTAAATGTAATCATAGATAATAACTCATCAGAAGTAACAATACCAGCTATGATCTTATAGAGGAGTGACAGATCCATGAAGATTCTTCAATTTACAAGGGTTGGGAGGTTTATTAAGTTCAGAACTGAGTCAGCGAATTAGAAGATTGGCGCCACTGACGCTGACACAGCGCGCTCGTCGCACCGAGGAAACACTTGAATTTTGATCGGGCGGACGCAAGCAAGTAGGCGTTGGGCCCGATAAATACATATTTTATTTTGTCTCTTAATTAATTAGAATTTAAACATTGTTTATTTTAGTTTTTGAGATATTTAATAAAACATTATAAAACTACGGTAACACATGTATTATGAAGTGGCTCTACAGGATGTTAAATTGTTTAAAAACAACAATTTTAAGTCAATTCTTTTGCTAGAAACTATACTTAATAATAAAAAAAATAATTAAGACTATAATACTAAAAAAGTAAACAATATATAAATCGACAGCAAAAGATCTAAATAGTTCAAATAATCAAATCGCACTAAAAGCAAGAAAACAATCAGATTAAAAAAAAAACCTAACTATGTATATGTATTTATGTCTATTCTGCAAGACATAAAATTTATTTCCTAAACTGACAGTTTTTGTAGAGTAAGAAAGGTGTATTTATTTATGGGCAAGCCCGTTTTTAAATACAGCTTAATCGTTCTTGCATCTAGTTTCTTTGAAAGAGTTAAGGCAATCGTGCTCCTATCCCATCGCGGTTTGTGCTAGTCTCGAGTGAGTGCAAATGCATTTGAAATATGGGAAATAACTTCACCATGCATGCTCGAGACTAGCACAGACTGAGATACGACAGCACCCTGATTGCATAATGCGTTTCCACCTTAACATAGCTCCAGTAGTTATTTTCATAAATAAATAAATTAAATAAATAAATAAATATAAATAAATAAATATAAATAAATAAATATAAATAAATAAATAAATAAATAAATAAATAAATAAATAAATAAATAAATAAATAAATAAATAAATAAATAAATAAATAAATAAATAAATAAATAAATAAATAAATAAATAAATAAATAAATAAATAAATAAATAAATAAATAAATACCTAGTGTTTCCAAGAATAGAGGTAATAGGTGTAAATAAATAAATAAATAAAATATTTAGACCTAAATTTTGTAGGGTTTAGCAATGCTTCCTTTAAAATTAATTACACTCAAAATAATATGTATTTTTATCTGTATTTTACCTTAAAAAGTAATTCTAAATGACTTTTATTTATAATTTGTTTTTGTTCTCAAAAATCGAGACATAAAAATCGCCTCTAAAACATGATTGCCATTTGGGGTGTATTAGTATCACATGAAACAAGGTTGAACCTGCAGCTGAACCCACAAGGTCAATGTATTTTTTGTCATTTACACTCATGAGAGCATTTATTATGGGACATACAGTATATAATTGCAAGGGATGCAGTAGGGGTAGTTTCCAGAAATGCTGAATCTTCTTTAAAAAATGATTATATTATATAATGTTTAAGTCAATAAAATCTAGCGAGGTTTCTTTTTTCTACAAGCAACAAGAAAATATTTAATTATAGGGGCTGCAGTTAGGGTGGTTTTCAATGCACTTGGAATCTTTTTTAAAAAACTAATGATTATATTATATAATGATTTAATCAATAAAATCTAGCCTGGTTTCCTTTTTGTACAAACAACAGTAAAATCTATAATTTAAAAGGTCACATGCTGAATCTTTTTTCTATAAGCAACAGGAAAATATATGATTTCAAGGATCAAAGAAGGGTGGTTTTGATGCACTTTTGTCAGTCAAACAATATAATGTAACAGTATATATATAATGATTTAATTAATAACATCTAGCAGGGTGTTTTCATCCGGCAGTAGTAGGAAAATATGTAATTTTAAAGGGTACTGTTAGAATAGTTTGACTATTTTGGAGGTTGTGTAATGAGTCAATCAAATCAAATCAAATCAGTTTATTCACCATAAAAGGACATTCACATAGTGAAAGCCACTTATCAGGCTAGTCAAGTATAAACAATATTAAAAATAGTAAACAATTATATACATAAGACTACTTATATTATTTAAAGAAACATACAATTTAAAATATTTAAAATGACCTGGTTAACAGATTATGATGCCTTCAAGAATTGAGGAACTCATCAATATTGTAAAATGTGTTATTGTAGAGGAAGTTAATAATTTTATTCTTTATGCTGTTCCTTGGCCCAAATAAATAAATAAGCGTTTTCATATTAATGAAACATTTAACCCCTATATAATTGGGAAAATTCTGACTCACTCTCAGTATTGAGAAGGTGAATGTCATCATTATGGCGGGTATTATATAAGTGAATTTCATTGTTTAAGGTAAACTGGTTCTTATTATCAAAGATACACAGTATTAATTGTAAAATATATAAAGAGTGCACTGTTTGAATTTCATATTTCTTAAATAGATTTCGGCAGCTTGCTAATGGATGAGCTCTATCCATACATCTTACAATTTTCTTCTGCATCTATCTGTATCTGTAACGTGTGGAGGGTGGGTTACCCCCACGGCACTTAGGCATCATTAGGCCCATTGTGCATCCTCCTAAGATGATAGGCACCTCCTAGCTTGTGAGCCAGCCTACATATTTAATGTAGTTGACAACGTCGCCAAGAGGTGCTTTTGCATGATGAATGCTCTATCTATATGTGAAGAGGAACCCTACACCATACTGTAACTGAGATTGTACCAGTCAAAAATATAATAGTCACAAGATGTTAATGGAAACATTATCCTTAAGACTTATCAAAATAAATCAGGTGCTACTCAGCTTTGAGCATAGCTTATTGATAAAAGCTTAGCATCAAGAGTTACACCTAGAAATTTCAGTGATTGAGTACTTTCTATTGATTTTCCAGAAAGTTTAATTAGCAAATCTTCATCAGGAGTAATTTTTTTAGGTAGAAACCTCATATTTAGCTGAAGGCCATTTTCCTCACAATATCCCTCAAATTCCATTGTGACGTTATTTCCATTTTCTACTAGGGTACTGACACATTTCACAGATAGTATCATATTGGCATAATCCGCATAAAAACAGCTTTATCTGATGTTTCCCAAGTGTTTGAATTGTCGTTTATAAAAATTATAAAGAATATTGGCCCAAGCAATGTGCCTTGGGGAATGCCTAATGCATTACTCTTGCATTCAGATGAACCTTCGGTCATGTGGCTTTCCTCTTATTCCTATACCTTCGAGTTTTTTTAATAGTAAGCTGTGGTCTATTGAGTAAAAGGCACAGGTAAGGTCATAAACATATGCTGTTTCCAGTTAAGTTCTTCATATATAATTTCTTAAATTTAAGTACGTTATAAAAACAATACAATACAGTTTTCTTAATAGTTTTCTTTTTATTATCAATAAACAATTTTAAGACATATGTTTCACTTTTTTATTACAACTGAATTAAATTGAAATAATTTGTTCCATTTGAACTTTCAGTAATCTTTAAAATGTCTATGCTGGTAAGGACCAAATGTAAAATATTTTTAGTCTTAATTTACACACTAGATATAATGAATGAAAAAGTTCTAACAAACAATTTGACAAAATTTATAATAATAATTCTTTATTAATATTTTTATTTTAGCAAAAATTATAGTTTTCTTTTATTTTAAATAAGCTATCTACATTAATAAAATGCAGTTACCTAAAAAATTGTATAGTTTAATTAAAAATGTGGTTTTTATCATAAAAATTGATTATATTACATTCCATTTTTTATTGTTATATGAAATAAATATGCGTGGGCTTTGCATTAAAAATGAAATATTGTACCTATATAATTACATATGCAAACTTTCTCATAAGCAGGATATCTATAGAAAGGTGTCCATTAGACCCTAGCAGAGACCCTAGATTAGTTTTTAATTTTAACATTACAATAAGTTGAAATTAGAACTGTCGTTTTTTATCAGCTAAGATATTCTGAATTATCAAATGCATTTCTATACAGCAATTCATACATTCATGTAAAATATGCAGAATTCCATAAATAAGAAAATGACGTGTAAACACAAGTGTACTTAAATATAAAGTTTACGATGCACTATACTATTTTCCACTTCAAAAAAATATTGAGTACCTCTAATTTTAGGTAATTTACTGAAATAAAAGTAATATTAATTATATTACATATAAATACTTACATTCATATAAAATTCAGTACATTTAGTGGAACATGAACCTATCAAGCGTAACACTTAGTTTATATTGCATTATTTAATGAGAAAAGTATTTATTCAGCAACTTAATTATTACACTGATTAAACGAACTATAGTTTATAAAAACTCCTATATTTGCAATTAACAATTTGTTAAAAAATCCATTTCGTTGGCAAGAAAATGTATTCGTCATACGTCACCTGCCACCTGTCAAAGTCAATTTTTATCAAATTTGATTGGCCAACGGAACAAACCAATCAAGTTTTATTGAGCTGATAACTGGTAAGAAATTTAAATAAAATTGTAATAAGAAACATATTTGACCATAAATAAACAAATATTTTGGATAAAAACTCACAGAAATCGTCATAAATAACTAATTTTATTGAAAAGTCTAAGGGTGAGATTACAGAACGTCTGCAACTTTGCAGATCTGCAAATATGGCGGACTTACAAATGTAAGTATTCCAAAAAATATCTGCAAATTCGCAATATTTATTGTGGTTTATTACCCCCAACAACACTAAACCCAAATTTGGAATACGAAAACTTGATACTTGCATGTGTAAGTCAGTCATATTTGCAGATTTTCAAAGTTGCCGCCATATTTGCAGATCTGCAAAGTTGCAGTGTGGTTACAGGCGTTCTGTAATCTCACCCTAATATTTTTTTGGGGCAGTTACTCGTGTTGTATATTTGAAATGAAAGTGCTAAAATATATTAAGAATATAGGTACTAATACATAAATAATATAAGGTGTATTATAATGTTTTTTTGTGGATTATTAGGTTTCCTATAAAGTAATGTTGTTCTTTAAATTGTTATAAAGTAATTTTATAATATACTAAAAGGGCGTGTCGTATATGAGGGCGTCACCAACATGTATTGACATTTGACGTGTACTTGACATTTCAACAACTACTTCAAGGTCAAGAAGTTAATAAATGAAAACGAAATTTATTTATAAGGTTGTGAATAATTTTTAAAATGTATGACTAACTTGTATACACCCAAAAAAATCTGCAAACTTTTATTTTTTTTCTTATAAGATTTAAAAAAATGGGTACTATAAAATATTTAATAACCACTCTTGTGCTTGTACTGGGTAAGTAGTTTCTCTCAAAATTATTCCTAGCAAACTACTTAATTATAATCCTGTTTTTTAGCTTTTTCGGAATGTTCATGTATGAACGGTACGATCCCTTTGATTTTAAGAGGAGCCTGGTTTTCCTGGGAATTGGGTAGAAATACACTTACTGAATTAGATGCTACTACCATGACTAATAGAGGATACTGTATTGATGTTAAAAACGAATACCATGTAAATTACACTATGGTTTTTCGAAAAGATACATGTTTTAGATGTGTTAAGCTGCTAGTTAGAACTGTAAACGTTCTAGAAAAAATAGAAAGTATGTTTTTAAATTATCAACTTTTTTTGATTAATAATACTTCTTCCTATTTCAGCTCCATGCCTTAATATACCTGAAGAGTTTGCTTCTGTAGAAACGGTTTGTAGGGGTTTAGATCTCCATCAGCAGCTTGTTACATTGTTTTCTGAAAATTACATTCCTGTAAATTGTAGATCGTCACTTGAAGGTGTATGGAATTTTGCTTATCAAAATCGTTTTAAATTTACTGGTGAATGTAAAAATCCTGATGCCCAGATTCGTTCTTGTCAAACAGCAGGATCTCAGTTTTTGATTACAAATCAGAAGTTTAATATTACTTATAAGAAATGTGAGGGTATGACTGGAACATTTGATGGAGGTGAGATATTAAGTAATTTAACTATTTAGGTACATTTTGAAAAAAATATGGTTTTAGTTGTTGAATACAGTTGTCTGGGTGATTGGTTTGTTGGTAAAAACCACTATTTTGCTGTGGCAAATACTAGAGAGTCCAGAAAAGATGAAAAATATAGGTGTTTCTTAAAAAATAGAGATGATGATTTGTATATTGGTGTATCTATAACGGCGGAATGCAACACTTTGAAAACTGTAGAAAAAAGTCCTGAAAGACTGCATATCACTCCAGGTAAATTTAGAAAACAAACTTTATTGATATAAATAACACATTTTCTTTCTCCATTTAGTAAAGTCTGAGATAGTAGAACCAGGTTGTCGCCTCCCTCAAAATTTTTCCGGACAATGGATCAATACAGCCAATATCGATGCTGATATTTTCATTAATGGGACTCATATCATTGAAACTTGGTATCCAGATGAAGGTAGGTATAGAAAAACCATTTACGTTTGCAGAGAACAAAGAGACACAAGAGTAATGATGGCTAGACTGACAGTAGATGGATGGTAAGCATTAAAAAATTATTAATATAGTTTATTATTTGTCCTTTAAGATCATGTTACAAGATATAGGATAAATCGTGTACAAATAAAAAAATATTAAATTGGAGTAGAAGTACAGAATACAAAAAGTTGCATCTAAGATAAAATGTACACATTAAAAACTTACAATTAGAGAACTATATATTTTAAAATGTATTCAGATAAATTGTTAAAAACATGACTTGCTAGATAGTTTATAAGTTCTTTTTTTTTAAAGGTTTATATTTATTTTCAGATTTAAAGAAATCAGGGAGTTTATTAAAAAATTCAATTTCAACATATTCAGGTTATTTCTTAAATAATGAAATAATGTTGAATTTCTCTTGAATTTGGTAAAAAGTGCCCACAGAGTTAATAAATAATGACTGAATAACTTTAATTACATCTCGATAATCAACTGAAGAGAAGTAAAAGGTTTGAGAGACACATGGCGCAGTAAATTTTTTTAAATTCAATTCATTGAAATGAGACTATAATGCTTATATTTACTTCCACTTCATTCTATAAATATTCATAATTTTTATTAAAAAAAAAAAAAAAAAAAAAACAATATAGAAAACTAAAATCCTATCGACATTGGGTCCCATTTTGCTATTATAATAAACTAATAATCATAATAAAAGATCTTTATTGAGTTACTATACCCAACAGACCATACACTGAATTCCTTCAGTCCACTGCTTTTAAGTTTATAAGTTTAATAGTTATAAGTTACAATGAGTTACAATAATAAATAAGTTACAATAAAGTACAATAATGGAAACCAATTATAAAATAACAAGCATCTAGGTGAGAACACCTGTATGTGCTGACAAAAATTAAAATTTTATTTTAATTATATTTAATGAATTATAAAGGAAATTAAAAAAAACTATTTAAAAAAAATCCATGTATTAAGTCCGTTATTCTTGGAATATTCTGATAAACTTTGTATTATTTTGGAAAATGTATATTTTGCTAACTTTGCAGAATTTTTTATATTTGTTTAATAATTTTTATATGAAGAGGTAGAGCGTTATAGAACTTTGTTCCTAGATAATTTACACTATTTTTAAAAAACTCACTATTTGATTTTGGTACTTTAATGCAAATGTTCGATGCAGTTCTAGTGTTATGTCTATGGTCTAAAGGGTTTTTTAAAAATTAATTTTTTTGTATATAACACACTGCGTGAATATATAAACATCTAACATTGCTAATTTTTTCATTATATAAAGTTATGGTGGAACACAATCTATCTCTTTTATATATTAACTTCAAGATTTTGTTTTGAATAGCATTTAACTGATTTAATGTAGTTCCATACAGGCCTCCCCATACTAAGATTCCATACCCTAGTATAGATTCTACTAGACTGTAGTATAATGTTATTTGTAGATCCTGGTTGAGAAATTGTTTTAGAAGATAAAATTTATAAATCAGAAATCTAATTTTTTTTTTGCTATATATATTATATGGCAGTCCCATATTTTAAGTGCTGGTCTATAATTATACCTAAATATTTGGATGTTTCTGTTTCCTGTATGTCTAAATTTTGACATGTTAAGCTTCTAAATTGAGGTCGATCAGCCACTGTCTGTGAAAAAGCAATGTAGTTTGTGTTGTTAAGATTCAAAGACAATTTAAAAACATCCAGCCAGTTTTTGACATGTTCCATTCCAGCTATAGCATGTGTCTTGACGGCTTCCCAATCTTTATCACTGAAGACTAGCACTGTATCATCAGCATATGATACAACTTTACCTTGAATATCAATCTGAGTTAAGCTCTTAATGTATAAATTAAACAGTATAGGTCCCAGAACAGTCCCTTGAGGCACTCCGATTTGAATATTTTCAGGGTTACTCACATTGTCTCTGACCTTTACCTTCTGTTGTCTGTGTGTCAAATAATTTTCAAAAACCCTCAACACGATGCCCCTCACTCCATTCTGTTCAAGAACATTTAAGAGCTTCTGATGTGGCACCGTGTCAAATGCTTTTGCTAGATCTACAATTATAGCTATACACTTGTTATAGCTATACTCAGTAACATATGAAATCAAGTCATGCATAGCATCTCCTTAGAGTCATATTGGTGCTTGGGAAGTAAGTCATTAGTTTTTAAAAAATCTGTCAGTCTATCTTTCACACATTTCTCAAATATTTTGGCCACATTACTAATTAAACTAATAGTTCTATAGTTAGTTATTAATATTGGATTACCAGCTTTATAAATAGGTGTTATATTTGAAGTTTTAAATTGTCTAGTTAGGATTCCTGTATTAAAAATACAATTAATTATATGCATTAAAGGTTCAAGTAAATACGGATGTAGTAGTTTCAGATGTTTTACTGTTATACAAGCAAATCCAGGGGCACTATTGTTTTTTAAACTGTTTATGTGTTTTATAATATCGTTTTCGCATATCGGTTTCAGAAACATTGATTTTTCAGTGACACAGGAAAATCCACATTACATTCAAGGATATTTGTGGACATATTAGTGCCAATAGTCGAAAAGTAGTTATTGCAGTAATTCGCCATTTCATTATCATTTTCAAATTCCTCATTATGTTGGTTAAAAATCTGTAAATTGGTATTATTTTTTTTATGATTTTCATTAGTTGCTTCAGAGATTAATTGATACGTTTTTTCAGATCATTTTTGTTTTGGTTTATTTTATTTGTTATAATAGTCATTTTTAGTTTTTGATATTAGTTTGTCTAAATGTTTTATAGTGAGTTTGTTTGTTAAAAGTATAGTTTTTTTGTAATCTTTTTTAAGTTTATCCCTAGTTTTAATAGAATTAATTAAACCATTTGTTATCCATGGCTTTATTTTTTTTTTTTTTATTTTAATTTTAATATTTTGAGTGGTTTGACATGTTTCAATGATATTAAGATACGTGTCATAAAAAAGTTGTGTTGCAATTTCTGGATTATTTTCATTGCAAACACTTTCCCAGTTTACAGTTTCGAATTTTTGTTTTAATTTATCAGTATCAATTTTAGTTATAGTTTTATATGTATTTTAGGAACTTGTGTAGTTCTTGGCAGATTGTGAGATATTTATCATAATAGGATCATGATCAGTCATATCATAGCTGATTACATAAGAGTTCACCGATAGATTTTCAGTATTAATATTGTTTTTTAAGAATATATGATCCAAGCATGTTTTACTTTGTGGCCTCCTAATAGTGTTTATGTAAGACATGAAACCATGGGAGTAAAAAGTTGCTTGGTAATCAGTAGTTACTTGATTGGTTACATTTAGGAGATCAATATTAATGTCCCCTATGAATATTTCAATATTTCTATTTAGGTGATTTGGTATGAAATTTTTTAAATCCCTTATAAATGCTTGTGCAGAGGTTTGAGGAGACCTGTATACACCTGTAATGCCAATGGTCCGATGATTGACTTTTAGATTTATTTTAGGACACAAATATCAGAATATTCCAGTTTAACTATATTTAATTCTGCATTTAGATTTGACCTGACCAAAATTAAAACATAATTAATTTGTTTTTCAGTCAAAAGGATTTCATTTGCTTCGATTTCGTTCCACAGCATCACAATATAATTCGTTATAGAAGAGGTATCGCCGTAATCAAGGACGATTTTAGCACTGTGTGTTCTTGGGTGCAGTTTCAAAACAAGGGAAAATGGAAGTACGACTTGTATTTAAAATCGAATCCGGTTCCTATCAAGTGCCCTGTAGCAGGAAAATTCAATTTCACACAAAAAGGAGATGTTCCTTTCGAAACAAGGTAGACTATTTAGGGGTTCAATCCAATTGAATTTATTCTGATTTTTTAATCTTGTTATAGGATTCTCGGTGGTGTAACTCTAAGTCCACGTCCAAACGTTTATTGCAAACAAAACATTTCCGACTTTTCTGTCTGTGATACGGAACAAAAAGAGGTAGCCATTGATGAGAATTATTGTTTGTCTGTTGACCATTTGGGTAGACCAGTCGATATTTACAGTAAGTATTTCGAAATAATTAACATTTCTTTAGTTGATCATATAGATGAAACATTGTTTGCTAAAAAGCAACATCTCTAATATGGTTCATTTGGTAAAGACCTGAAAAAGCTTCTTTTCAAGTTAGAGTACCTTCTGGTGTTCCTCAAGGCTCTTATTTGTGCCCTCTACTGCATCTGGTTTTTATTAATGATGGTACTATTTGAACAACTTCTTGAACTATTTTGTACTTTTTTATTCAAATGAAGTAGTTCAAAATAAATGTTGACTCTAGTCTGTTTCCAATGCAGTTTTTCTATTTTGTAGATGTTGCAGCTATTTATATATTTTTTTTTCTTAAAATTGCTAGGAAGGTGAAAAAATATTGAAATTAAGTTTCATTAAAAATAACTAATTTGTACCTCTATATGTATTGTTATGCAACAAATTATTTTCTTTATTACTTGTTTTTTATATGTAATAGGAATTTCTACAAAATTAATAAATGTAAATAAATATATAATTATAATTTTACGTTATCTAAGAAGCGAAACTGAAATTCAAAGACTCCCAAAACAAAATTTTCACATTTATATTACTGTATTTATTATTGATTTTTGTATTTAAATGGAACCAATAATAAGCTTTTAACACTTACAGGATTATCTCACACAGTACTAGTAATTACGTAAAAAAAGTAGAGGAGAATTAATAATTTATCTAAAAATAAATAGATAATCTGTTAATAATCAAGAAATTAATAATCTTTTGAATTGATCCTAGTATTTTGTGAGATAACCCTGTAAATGTTTAAACTTTATTGGTTCTATTTAAACACAATGATTATTAATTACCTTTTTAAATTAGTAATAATCTTAATTATTTTAAAACCCTATAGTTAACTTCTATTTAAATAAATATAAATTTATCTCTATTTTCCTATGGAATAATTATTTTCAGCTATCCTAATCAAGGCAATAAACATTGCTGAATGCATTAGAAGTATTAAAAAAGTAATTCTTATACTTAAATTATAAATTTCAATTGTCTATGTTACTCAAAACCTTTGCTATTTTTAGGTGATCCTGATTACAGGATGAAATGTATCGGTTTCTGGAAAGAAAACCTTAAATCCTACCTAATAACATATGACGAGCTGGATCCGTTTTCCAAATACCGTTGTTGGGTATACCAAAGAGCCGATTTGAACAAAATTTTGATGTCTCAAGGTATTATATAGGTTTTTGAAAATTAACGCATTTGACATTGTTTTTCGTTTTGCAGCTATTGGACCTTTCTGTGATTTGAATCAAGACGTTTACTCTTGGAACTACACCCAGGGAGCCTCAGTTGCTATTGAAATGCAGGAATATGAAAGAGAACGTATGTAGATTATAGACATTTAAATACACTAACCCTTTATAACCATTATGCAATTATAAACTATTTTAACCGATTATAAACAATTGTAAACAGTTACAAGCAATTATAAACAAATATAAGCAATTATAAACGATTTTAACTGATTATAAATAATTATAAACGATTTTAACCGATTATAAACAATTATAATTGAATCGCTGATTGCAGAAAGGGTACAAGTCATGTTTCGCATATTTTGAGATTTTTACGTGAATCGACAGTTCAACCCAAGCATAAAGGATTCATATTCTGATAAACACCATGTAAAATAATATTTCATTTCAATAACGTTGAGTGCAGAAAAGGTCCAAGTCAATTGACTTGTACCCTTTATGCAGTCAATCGGATCGCAAGGTGGCGCTGCTAGTGAAATATCAGTAGTTGTTATTTTAATTTTCTGTCAGTTAGATTATCTTGTCCAGCCATGGATGATGTAAATAATTTAAAACGTAAAAAAGGGGTAGTTAACTGCGATGGATATAAAAGGAATATTATTAAAAAGTGCCGGTAAGTTTTAGTCGTTATAATAAAACATAATCTATTGAAATTTTTAATTTTTTTTAGTGTTAAAGGCCAAGCGTACGTAAATTATAAAGGTAATGTTGTTCCTGCTAAATCTGTTGGAGACCTATGTAACTGCAGGTTCAAATGCTTGGAAAAGATTACTAATGAGCAGCAGCTAGAGGCATTTGAAAATTTTTATAATTTATCTACAAAGGACGAACAGGACTTGTTTACAAGGACTTCTAGTATCAAAACTCGCCGCACGAGTACAACAACTTAGGGAGAACAACAAACGTAACAGTAGTTTTAAATATTACGTACTGATTGCAACTGAAAGAAAAATGATTTGTAAAAAGGCATTCTTATCTGTTCACTCCATCAGTAATAAAAGATTACAACGTATTCAGCAGTTGTTACAAGCAGGAGTTACGCCTACAGATAAAAGAGGAGAACAAGTCAGTGCTGTTATCCCCGCCGAAGAGAAGATTCGCATTCATGAGCACATAAATTCGTTTCCTGTAAAAACGTCCCATTATTCTTCAAGAGAATATCATTATCTTAGCTCACAATTGACAGTAAGGACCATGTCCAATATTATGATACAGAAACTCTGCGCATTTGGTCTTTCTAATAGTTTGATCACACTTTTTCAATCGTATCTCTCTCAAAGAACACAATATGTTCAATTAAATGGATTCAAGTCTAACAAATATTGCGCCACCTCTGGTATACCGCAAGGTTCAAATTTGGGTCCGCTGTTATTTAATATTTTTATCAACGACATTGGTGACGCTATAAATGTTGATTATTTGCTGTATGCTGATGACTTAAAAATATATTCAGCTATTGAAAATATTTCTGACTGTGAACAGTTGTCGGAAAATTTGCACAAAGTTGTTGAATGGTGCAACAAAAATGGTCTTACACTGAATCCCGTCAAATGTAACGTAATGTCATACACATTAAAAGCGCATCCAATTATATTCGATTATGTCCTTGATGGACGTTTGCTTTCTAAACCCAACAATTTTATGGATTTAGGGGTTACATTTGACCCAGTATTGTCGTTTAAATACCACATAGATAACATCTCAACAGCTGCAAATCGTATGTATGGATTCATAGTACGAGTGGGCCGTGATTTTAAAAACACAGATACTATTAAATCATTGTATTTCTCATTTGTTCGATCTAAACTCGAATATGCCTCGTTTATTTGGGATCCTTATTATCAAATACACATTTGTCGGATAGAGTCCACACAAAGGCGTTTCCTCAAATACTTAAGTTTTCGGGCAGACCAAATTTATCCACCGATTGGTATTACTCAAAATGCTTTACTGACTAGACACAGATTGACAAGTCTCGACGTAAGACGAAAGTACTTCTCCATAATTACCCTCTACAAAGTTGTTAATTTTAAAATCAATTGTGAAGCTCTTTTACATATGCTTAATTTTAGAATCCCACGCGCAACCTCTCGAAACACTGAATCATTTTACATAGCGACTCCTCGGACAAACGTTCTGAAGTTTTCACCCGTATATAATATGTGTAATAATTATAATAATATTAGTGAACAGTTGGATATATTTAATTGCAGTGTTAAAAACATAAAAACACATTGTTTAAAATAATTTTGAATTTATTTACTGTAATTTTAGATTAATTATCTATATGCTTTTTGTTAAACTGTTTTCTTTCAAATGTACTCCTGTTCTGTAATTGGGTTTAACCTGTTGAACAATGTATACATAAATAAATAAATAAATAAATAAATGTCCAGACTCAAAGATTAAGTACGAATACTACAACAGAATTTTTAAGGACGATTTTGATCTGAAGTTTGGTAGGCAGCAGGTCGACACATGCTGCACTTGTGAGAATCTTTCAATCAAAATTAAGAGTAAGGATCTAAATGAGAATGCTAAAAGAGTTGCTATTGCTGAAATGCTCGTGCATAAAAGACGAAGTAAAAAGTTTTATTTACAACCATATATGTAATGTTGTCATTACTAACGTCATTGAGGGTTGGGAAGTGTCACATTACACACCTCTACTTCCCGCCCTCACTTCCCGCCCTCATTTAATCTATTCTAAATGAATATATTTTATATTTAAAAAAAATAACACTTTTTTTGACAAATTTTATAATACCTATTTAATGGCAAACAATAAAAAACAACAATGAACTAAAATACAACAAACTACTTATTGATATTTATTATTCGCGAGTTTAATATCCGGCTTTATCTGACATTTATTTATATTGGTGACAGTTGTTTACCCCGTAATCACAGTAACAATATATTTACTTGATTATTCTGAGAAAACCGCGCGCTTGTTAATTTGTCGTTAAATGTAATATTTTAGGTATGTTCAGAACGAAACAGAGATTTATTAACTTTGATCGAAATATGATGGTTGTAAATAAAATAGTATACAAACCTCGGTAGGAAGTTTCATTCCTGTCTCGAGATCATAGCTAACCTCGATGCTTCGCGTCTCGGTGATCTAACTAATCTCACGACAGGAATGAAACTCTTCCCACATCGGTGTGTAATATTCTATTACACGGCACTGCAGGAGTCAACAAAGAAAAGCAAAGAGTTTAATAATGTAGTTGCCCTTGCGTTTGACTATATGCAAAACTTACAGCTTCCAAAAATACCAGTACAGGATTTATTCTATTTAAGACAATTAACAGTAAGCGTTTTTTGCATCTACAACATGAAGACTGACCAAGTTGTTTACTTCATTTATCATGAAGGTTGTGGCAAGAAAGGCCCTAATGAAGTATGTTCCTTCCTTTACCAGTATATAAAGGAATATATACCTGATAGTGTGAGGGAACTGCATCTCTTTAGCTACAATTGTCCTGGTCAAAACAAAAATAACACCCTGATTCGAATGTGCCTGTTCCTGAAAGATTCTGGCAGATTTGATGATATTCAGCAATACTTTTCCATTCGAGGACACTCGTTTCTGCCTTGCGATAGAGACTTTGGTAACATTAAAAGAAAGTTAAAAAAAGTCGATCGTGTTTATACCATTCGTCAGTGTATAGAAATTATAGCATCTTCCAGCAACAAACATAAATTTTTAATCCATCTTGTGGATGGAAAGGATATAGTGAATTTTAAAGACTGGTGGCTTGGACTTTATAAAACACAGCTATTTCTATTGAAACTTCTCAAAGAGGTACGCCAAGAGATAGAAAAGTTGCGTTTAACATCAGCAACTTCCATCAGTTTTCCTTCTGCAAGAATGATTGGAAAGGTGTAGTACTTGCCAAAGACTACATTAATGGATTCGAGAAACATACATTTTGTCTAAGACTCCAATATTGTAGCTGAACCTAAAGTATTTTGTTACCTAACAGGAAAACTTCCCATAAAATCAGATAAAATGGATCACATAAAGAAATCGGCTAAATATGTGAACGACGTTGAAGGAACAAAAGAATTTTGGGATATTTTTAGTTGGCCTATTATAAATTAAAAATCTGTGTTTTGTTAATCCAATTTTTTCTTAATAAAGTGTTTTTAGTCAATTACTCCCTCTTTCTTTTTGATTCTTCCAATTGATAACAGAAAGGGTATAGGTTAGTCAACTTAAAAGGTCTATAACTTTTTACTACTTAAAGCAAATATTTTCAATTACCCCTAAAAGGGATAGTGTTTTGATATAGTTTTTACATGCACATTCAGTTTTTTTTTATAAATTATGCTCCAGTTCGAAAAACAGTTATTTGCCTTTATCTCAGAAGTTAAGTTCAGTGACATATATCCTTTCTGCAATCAGCGATTCAATTAGTTATAAATCTACCTGATTATAAACGAATATAAACAATTATTAACGATTTTAGCTGATTATAAACAATTATAAACGATTATAAACAATTTTAACCAATTAAGTATGGGGTCTATTCTGTAAATTTGGTTAAAATTAACCCTAAGTTATAAAAATAACAGGATGGTATTATTAATTTTGAATTCTGTATTATTTGGTTAAAATTACATTTTAAATATATTCTTTTTCTTATTTTTAATGCTGCATTTAACAATTATAATTTTTTTTTATATTTAGGTGATCAATGCCCTATGAACTTCGATGACGGCACGAATCCCTGGTTGCATACAGAAAATGAAATCCAAATTTTCGACTTTGGATATTTCCGAAGCAACTCGAATTTAATCAAATTTAACACTTTCTCACTATCATTTTCTATAACTTTCATCATTTTTAAATGGTTAGCATATTAAAAAATATAGTCGGAACATGTTTATAAAAAATTACCTTAAAAATAGATATTTATCGTCAAAAAAGCAGTAATTTATGCATGATCAATTCTGCCTATTAAAATACTCATTTTTTTTAAAGTATATTATAATTATTTTTATATATATATTTTTTTTAATTAATATGAGATTGGTTATAAACATGTTCTTTTTATAAAATAATAAAAAAATAGGGGAACTGATTAGTAATAGTTATAAATGTGCCTGCCAAAATTTGGTATATCTAAAATTAGGTATCGAAAAATATTTTTGTCACAATTTTTATACAGGTACAGATTGTTAGTAAATCTTACCAAATATTTTGCTACTGAGGATAGGATTTAGATTAATCAGATACATTTTATGTTGATCCACTTTTTAGGTATCAATTTTGTATTGAATTAAGTTTTTAAAAATTGATATATAATGATTTTTACTTAAATTTAATGCGATATTTTAAATGTTGATAAAAATTGATTTCAGATTTTTGTATGGAGGAAAAGAATCTTATTATATTTTATATGGTGACCGTATGAATATGGACACAAAATGCTATAACGAATATACAGGCGATTTCATATTTTGAATCTTCTTTAATTCTAAACATCTTATTTAACTAAAACTTTTGAGTATTTTGAAAAGTAAGAGTCCTTTAGTCTTTTTAGCCTCCCTTGTAAATAAACGAGTTATTTTAATTTTGAAAATTGCACTTTGATTTTAGAATCATGTAGGAACTTTTATAAAGAATAGATTTTTATGATAAAGTCCATATGTAATGCTGGTCATTTATTTTTTTTAAACGTTCCAGGTTAACATTTATAGCAAGTGAACATTATAAACGACTTTTAATCTGATCTGCATTTTATCAATTTCTGATTTGTAATCTATTGTACTGTATTCTCCAATATTGTATGTTTTATAATTTTTATTCTTTATTAATTCCATGACTATGTTGTATCTGATTTTAATTATAATAATATATTTTTAATCCACATTAATGGCAATTTGGTTTTATAACATTTTTAAATAAATTATATTGTAACTGATTATTGTAAAAATCAATTTAATTTAATAAGACTAATTTAATTGCCGTCCATTTTATATTATAAGGGCATCTACTTTTTGTATATCTTTTTTATTATAATTATTGTTTTAATAACAATTTTATTGTATTTTTAAATATTATGATTTGATTGTAAAATATCAAAACTTACTCTTTTTGTATAATTTTTTTTAAATAATTGACACTTTTGTTAATACGATTTTTTAATTTAAATAAATAAATAAATAAATTTGTAAATAATTGTTATTTTATTTTTTATCCTTACCCAATAAGTGTTGACTACGTAACATATGTATGATGCCAATTTTTAATACAGAATACATGATAAAAATGCTATTGATGTAGTTACTTATTTTTGCGCCATCGTGTTGTGTGGGGCCGTCACAATTCATTTGCAATGATTTGCACGACACTATGGGCCGAATACAATTCTTGCTTTTGATGGATATCCCGAAAATGGGACAGAAACAAGTATGAAATCTGCTGAAAGAAACCGTTGCTCGAAGCAGCACTGATATACTATTCAATGAATCCATAATTCCAACTGTATCGCAAGAACAATTTTTATGGAACAGCTTCAACAAAAGGCGCCTCATCGCATTGCTGCAAACAAAGTTGAAAGTACATAATTACAATGTTAAGCAGGCGATCGAAGACGCGGATTCATTAATTTTGCAGACTGCCATTGAACTTGCTCCCTCTGTTTCTTCCGTATTCGTTATTGGAAAAGATGTAGATTTGCTTGTGTTGTTGAGTGCTAAAGCCAGAGAGATACCGAATCTTTATGTGTGCAAGCCGGGTAGAGGGAAAAAGGAGGATGTGTTCTATTCGCCTCAGAATTTACCATATAGCGATGCTGTAGCGAAAAGTATGTTATTTCTGCATGTCTTCAGTGGATGTGACGCTACATCGGCGTTTTTTAATCAGGACAAAATTCGATTCCTCAAAAAAATCCAACATTAACAGACGCGATTAAGGTATTTGACGACCCCAATGCCGAATTATCCAAAGTCGTTGCCGCTGGCGAATTGTTTATGATGAGGCAGTATGGTGCAGGAAGCGAACATCGCAAGTTCGACTCTCTGCGGTATACAACGTACGGGCCGTCTCAAAAATTCATTCAATTTAGCGGCGCTGCCACCAACATCAGATGCGTGCCATCATCATTCATTGCGTTCTCCAGAAGATCATGGATGGCGAAGAACAACCACAGGACTGGACGCAGTACGGATGGCAAAGGAACCAGCTCAAGATGCTTTACTTAAGAGTATCTCGTGCAGATGCAAGAAAGGTTGTGGATCTGTTTGTGGTTGCCGTAAAATAGGATTGAAATTTTTGATTCTGTGTTTACACTGTATCTACTGGGATGTCCTGCGAAAACATTCCGGATCAGATTGCGTTAGACGACAATGCAGAAGATGCCGAAAACGTTCACAATCATTTATTTACAAGACGATGAGGACCAAACGTACAAACGCAGAGTTTGATAAATAAACCCAAATATCGACTGAGGATTAGGGCTTTTAGGGATACCACGTTAAAAAAAACGCGCCGATCAACTTAACCTCAAGGGTGGTGTGGAAACGAGTTGAAAATGATTCTTGTATCATGTATGCACAAAAAGAATAAATTTGGCGCCTAGGTCAACAAAAATAAGGAAATATTGACCGTAGATACTGATAAATACAAAATGTTTATATCGGAATATGTAGGGGCACGCTTCAAGACATCATATCTCTTTTAGAAAAAAAATAATTTCATGGTTGTTTCATAGCGATCTTCGTCTTAATCCGCGATGAAATTCTCATTTTGCAAATCAACCCACTACTTTGGCGCGTCGTAGAGCGGAAACTATTGGTCGCAGACAAAAAAATAAAGAGCCATAAATTGTGCACGATTTTGTCCTGTACATATTTCATTTGAACTTTTTTTGATAGCACTTACCACAACGGTGCTATTTTCCGAAAAGCGTCGCGACGCAGAGTTTCCATCCCTCTAATATCCCACCAATTATCATTTCTTTCCAAACTTTTGCGAATAGAAACCACCCACCGCTTGGACTATTAAGTATTTTAATAGCTATTTATGCAACCAGTTACGAAATGTCTTATTTTATGTAACGAGTAAACGAGTTACTCAAAACGGCATTTCGTAACGTGTTACATATAACAGTTTTTTATTATTTTGACTAGATTATTTATAAAATTGTGTTTTGTTAAAAAAATACTAACATATATGCAACCAATAATACTTTATTGTATTGTTAGTTGCGTCGCATAACTTCATTCATTTTAATGAAAAATAAAAAACAATAATTTATTCTCAACGACTTGTAGTGTGTTTATATTGCTTGTTCTTGTTAGAGTTATTTAGTTTTCAAGAAAGTAGGTCATTTTGTCGTGTATTGTGTTTTTATTTTGTGCTGGTTTAGAATGGAAAATAAGGACCAAAACAACATTATTACTAAGTTAATTATTTATTGTTTGTTTGTCATGGCCCAACAGATCCACACAATTTTTTTTATTGAGGTAGTTAACGTGTTTTTTTACATCTTTATTAGTCGTGAATATGAAATTACTGTAGAGCATATTTATAAATTGAAATTGTAAAATGCCTAGCTGATTAGAATACTACTGTTAAAAAAATACTAACATATATGCAACCAATAATACTTTATTGTATTGTTAGTTGCGTCGCATAACTTCATTCATTTTAATGAAAAATAAAAAACAATAATTTATTCTCAACGACTTGTAGTGTGTTTATATTGCTTGTTCTTGTTAGAGTTATTTAGTTTTCAAGAAAGTAGGTCATTTTGTCGTGTATTGTGTTTTTATTTTGTGCTGGTTTAGAATGGAAAATAAGGACCAAAACAACATTATTACTAAGTTAATTATTTATTGTTTGTTTGTCATGGCCCAACAGATCCACACAATTTTTTTTATTGAGGTAGTTAACGTGTTTTTTTACATCTTTATTAGTCGTGAATATGAAATTACTGTAGAGCATATTTATAAATTGAAATTGTAAAATGCCTAGCTGATTAAAATACTACAAGTTGAAGAAATCACAGAAAATATTATTTATTTTGAATAAATATTGATAATTTTTCTCTGGAAAGGAAATTATTTGCGAATTTTTGATTATTCGGAACATTTTTAGCGAATAACGAAGTTATGGAGAAATTGTAATTTTGTTATTACCTATATTTTTTACATATAAAAATATTTTAACATTTTTTTAGTTTACAATTATTATATCTCAAATTTGTGTCTTGCAGCGCCCCACTGAACACGTACATAAAAATTCGTCTAGGTATTTGGGAGCTTTATTTTTTCAAATAATTGAAATGTGGTTTTCCTACATTAAAGCGAGCTCAAACAGTAATTTTTTGTGTTTCCGTTGTTTCATCTTGAATTCTAAATTCATTTTCACACTTGTCAGCAATCATTTTCGCAATAGCCAATGAACTTGTAGCACCCGGACTAGGCGCATTTCTGCAGTGTAGAATTCTGTTTTTGGTAACGCCTCCAATATCATAAGACTTTGTGTCGAAGTAAAAATCGTCTACCAAATTTCCTAAAACAAAAAAATAAGTTTACATCGTGGATGATATTTTTTTTCTACGACCCACTAATTAAAATCTACAAACTTCTTAAAATTAAGAAGAACTTACTATTTTAAAGATAATTAACGCAAAAATTGGATATCATGAATTTTACTAATTAAATATATTATCTGAAAAATAATTGGTCTCAGCCGGGATTTGAACCCTGAACCTTAGAATAAGAAAGCTTCACTCAATCTATTGCGCTAACAACTTTTGCAACTTTAAGGGTTTAAAATTTATAATTGAATTGGTTTTAGATAGTTTTATTAAAATTTACAGTTTCTTTGTAAATGTAAACGGATATATAGTGAATTATTAATTTCAATAACTAAAAAATATACTGACAATTAGTTTGACAAAATTGTCACTTATTTAAAAATTCGAAAAATAATTGTAGACTGCTTATTAAATATGAACTGCGACTGGTGGATTTCATATCCATACAGTGTCCTTATATAATAGATATGAAATTATATCCGTTTAGTAGAATGATATGGCCTACTTATTCGTTCTGTAGTCTGTACCTACATAGGTAACATATATGTGGGTCTAGAAAAACATTTTAGATCTTGAAAAAATATGTTTTTGATGTCAGCGATTGACGAACATGTCGTACCTAAATTATTTATTTTTCCTCATAAAAATGTTTTGTATTTTTAACAACAGAATTTCTAAAAATGGAATATGTTTGTAACAAAAGAAGTCGTCGAACACAATAATTTTGTTCATGAGATTTAAGAGTAACAACCTCTTACAGATTGTAAAAAAAGTAGGTCTAACCTACCTATTTTGGACTCCAGAATATCTGTAATTTATATCCTGCCTTTTTACACCTTTATGACAATCAACAAATAATTTAGGCAAACAGTATTACTTAATGGTATTATTTTAATTTAAAAAATTGTATAATCTACGGAAAAAAATACCGTCTTCATCTAAAGCTTGCGCCCTCACTCCAGCTGCTCCTTGTCCTGGAACGATATCTTCGAATGTTAAAGACGGTATGAACTTTTGCAAATCTCTGACTACCATTTTCGGTGAAAAAGATTTAAGCATTTCTTGGCCGCCTTTTCCCATATATTTATACGCTAATTTCAAAAATCCCGGGTATGTGACGTTGTCGAATAGTTCTTTTATATTGAAGTCGTTCCACCTAAAGAAAAAATTCCAACATAATATACGGTTATAGGTAATAGTTTAGTACACAGTAAGTAAATATTTCTCACCTGTATCCCTCCTTTTTAAAAGCAAAAACAGCATTCGGTCCAATCCAGACGCTGCCGTCCATTCGTGGAGTGAAATGGACACCCAAAAACGGAAACCTGGGATCCGGAACTGGATAAATGTTCGCTTTGATTAGTTTCGCTTTTTCGGCGGCCAAAATTAAATATTCTCCCCTGAACGGCACGATTTTTGGGGATTTTGAACACCCAGATAATTCGGCCAGATAATCGGAATGTAAACCACCGCACGTCAATACGTATTTTGATTCGAAAATTTTACCGCATTTTGAGAAAATTTCTATGGGATAATCCACGTTTTCTGAAGAATTGAAGCCATTTACCTGAAACAAATATGATTTCGTGATTGATTATCTATTTAGAATAGGTAAATTGCAATGCGCTTATTTTGAAATATTGAAAATTAAATAACAGCCTATATAAATGAACGACTTGTTTAGTGACAGATATCTAAGTACAACGAAAGAATCGAAAAATATTTAATAAAATACCCTCAGTATACATTTACCTCAAAATTTAGATGTATATCACCTCCATCTTGTTTAAAATCCTCCGCATAATGATTAGTTACTAATTTCCAATCGACAATACCAGTATGTGGAGACCACAATGCCTCTAACCCCGTACATAACGGTTCGATTTTTTTAATTTCATTGGCTCCTATTAATTTCTTTAAGTCAGGCACATTATTTTTTATACCTCTTTCATGTAGAACTTGTAGTCTTTTAACTTCTTCTGAGTTTGTGGCTACAATCAGTTTACCTACTTTTTTGTATGGGATATGTTTAGTGTTGCAATATTCATATGCTAGTTTCATCCCTTCGACGCAGAGTTTAGCTTTTAGAGAACCTTAAAAAATACATTTTTTTGTAAAATAATTTGGAGATCCGTATTTTTAAGTTGTACCTGGTGTATAATATATTCCGGCGTGAATAACACCGCTATTATGTCCACTTTGGTGGAAAGCTAGTTCTTTTTCTTTTTCTACTAGTGCTATTTTTAAATGGCGCTGCCTTTTTTTCAATTCACGAGCTGTAGCTGCCCCTACGATTCCCCCTCCGACTACTACTATGTCGTAGCAAGCCCTAAAAAATTATTTTATGTCTCATTTAAAATAGATACGCCACTGGTAATTTTAAATAAAACACATTTGGTAATTTTAGACGGCATTGCCAATTCCATTGAAAGTTCATGGAATACTGGTCTATAAATTTAAATTTATTTCAATTGTGTCGATTTTGTTTCCTGTTTTGAAAGTTGCAAATATACCTGCCAAAGAACTAAAAATATAAAGATACTAATATAATTTTCTAAGTAAATTGTAATAAGTTAAAATAATAATATTAAGATATTTTTGAATGTTAATTTTTTCTATGTTGAACCGGCAACATCAGAAATAATTGACATTGACTCATTGACATCGTAATTCGTAATCTCGCAACTCGCAATACATAACCTGTTTAACCTGACATTTATTTATCTGAAAATGTAAATTTAAATCGTGATTTAAAAGTAAGGTACTTTGTGTTATTCTTTTTACCTTTCCTAGCGATATTATTTAAAAATTACTCACCTGTTTTCTAATGCTGAAATATTTCGTGTTGAAATCTTGGTGGCCAGGTTTTCCCATGGTTTTAATGCAACAATTTTGTTATTAATTTTAAGCATTTCTAACTAGTTATTAATAATTATGCTACCTACAAAAACTAACGTGAAAAGAATTGACAATGGATAATAGCCATTTTTAGATAAGAAATAAATTGGAAGTAGGCGAAGTAGGGTATTTTATGTAGTAAAAAATTCGTGATCTAACCAAACATCGTACATAGGCGGCGTATGCGAAAGGAATTATTAGTTCAATTCTTCAACGGAACGACAACTTTCATCCAAAGCTAACATTGTACAAAGTTGAAACTAAAGCAAAAAATAACCATTGTTAAGAAAAACTTATTTTTTATGATTAGTTGTATTACTTCTTTGTAATTAATAAACATCGAGTTATGTTTTATTTAAATAAATTAGTTGAAATAGTATATTACCGTGGTGGAAATGGACTGTGATAGGATGAGGCCATTTTTTTAAAACAAAATAAATATAAATGTCAAATTGGGATCAAAACTTTCAATGTGGTTAGGTTTCGTTTACCTATTCTTAGAATTTACTGTGGAATTTACTGAATTTATTTTATTTTAATATCCTACAATTTGTTGTGCTCCCTTAGAACTTTGATTCTACGAGGGCTGTTCTCTAGTAAAATAAAACCAGTTTATTTACAAAAAACGTTTATTTATAATTTTTTAAAGCATTTTCTCCATAGTCAATGTATTTTTACATCCCTCAAAACCATTCTTGAAAACATTTTCTTCAATTTTCTGACAGTTTATTTATTTAATTTTTAAAGGTAACCGCTTCTTTAGCCGATGTATCTGTAATGTGTAGAGGGTGGGTTACCCCACATCACTTAGGCCTTATTAGGCCCATTGTGCATCCTCCTGAGAAGATAGGCACCTCCTAGCTCGTGAGCCAGCCTACAGATTTAATGTAGTTGACTACGTCGCCAAGAGGTGCTTCTCTTATATCGGCCGGTGTTAGCCGATAATAATACTCGCCGAACACAAATCTTCTAATAAATGAGAGCGTCGAGCAATCGTAAAAGATATGCTCGATGGTCTCATCTTCTTGTTCGTACCCTCTGCAGAGTGTGGATTCTGACAGCCCCATGATATGGAGATGCTTTCGTATTTGGCAATGACCAGTCAGAATGCCTGTGACTAGGCGCAGATTCTGTCTAGTCATAGTCAAGTATTTGTTTGCTGCATTGTTGTCAAGATAATTTAAGAGCTCCCTGGCAACTCTGCAGTTTCTTGTTTCATCCCATTTTTCCTTGAATTTCTCAAGGGAATGTTCTTTGATTAGGTCTGTCACTACTGATTTTGTCAGGCCAATAGAAGGGCCAGGTCCAAAAAGTATTTGGTTGGCTGCTTTCTTGGCTAGTGAATCAGCAAGACGGTTACCTTTCGATGTGACGTGACCTTTAATCCATCTTAAGGTCACCACGTTGTTGATGGATACTTTGGCCAAAGCTTCGTGCCATTCTAGTACTAACCCTGAATAAATTCGTGGTCTGTTCAGGGTGAGTAGTGCTTGTCTGCTATCTATATAGATGAGCATGTTCCTTCCAGTGATATTGTTTCTGGTTATTTCTTTTGCTGCTATGAGAATCCCCGTTAGCTCTGTTTGAACTACACTGGCACTATTGCTCACAGCCCATTTTATGTTTAGGTTTAAGAATCTGGAGTATATTCCACATCCTGAGCCTTGTTTTGTCTTAGAACCGTCGGTGTAGATATGAATCGTACCTGCTGATGTAAAAAGTAAAGTAATCCTTTACCCGCGGAAATAAGAAGTCATTAGGTGCTAGGTCTGGACTATACAGAGAATGACCTATTATTTCTATGTTTTGGGCATTCAAATACTTATTTGTTCGAGCCGCTTTGTGAGCCAGAACGCGTTATCTTAATGCAAGATAATCCTTCTTGGACGTTTTTCGCGAATTTTTGGAGAACCTAAGGCAAATAAACTGTAGTGTACCATTCTGAATTAGCAGTGCGTATATCTTCCAGTGCTACATTAGAAACATGCCCAGTAATTCCAAAAAAGTGGCGACCATATTTTTGTTACGGTTTTTTCCGACTTTTGTTGGAGCCGACTCATTCCCAAAGACCCAACTGACGATTGTTGCTTTTTTCGGGATCATTGCATTATACCCATGTTTTATCACCTGTTATGATGATGATGTACCTCAAATTAGACGATCCACAGTCAAAGCCATCTAGTGTAGATCTGCACCATCTCACACTCCGGTCTTCTTTTTGCCCAAAAGTCAAGTTGAATCTACCAAGCAGAACAAAACATACGGACTTTCAAATGTTTGTGTAAAATAGTGTTGATTGCTTTCACACCAATCTTTAAAGTAATCATAGTCCGAATAAGTTCAATATTTTTTTCTGTAACTGCGGCTTTTGGTTGGGAACTCGAAAACTGTCATTTAAGGAAAGTCGGTCACATGAATATTTTTGCCTAAGACTTACTGCATTGAACTAAATGCAGAGATTTTAAATAGTTTCGATTAGACCTTGTATTCCTCTCCTGGTTCAGTCTGCTTCGCTGTTTCTATTGTCTCTTTTTCTTTCATTACCTGGCGTACTAGACCGTGAACTGCTTTCCACTCTTTTCTCTCCTCGAGCATGATGTCTACTACGTTTTTCTTCATAAGTAAGCCTTTCTATTTTAATTTCGGCTTCTGCTTTTATTTTTAGCCATCTCTGGCATTCCAGCATAGTGTGTTCCGGTGTGTCATTTTCTTCTCCACAGCGCATATGCATTCCAGTATCTGGCTTCCCAAAATCAGGCTTGGGTGGTTCCGGACTGCCTTTTTCCTCCTTTGGGGCTCGCATGACAAGATTGCAGCTTTAATGGCTTATTTTGCTGCCATTTAGATTCCCTGCTCCTTCTAGGTTTGTTTTTGATTCAATATACATTATTATAAAAGTAAACATTTAGGAAAATAAAAATATCGTTTATTAAAAAACATCATAACATTCTGTAAGGATACGGTCGTCGCTTCAGCTTCACCAAGCGATATTCAAAATACAAAACGTTGTTCTTATCTTTAAAATGCCGCACAATAGTACTAGAAATATTCACACAGTTCATTCCACTAACACACGACGCATAATAAATCATCTTAATCTTCTTCTCTTCGGGATGGTGCAGGATGATCTCCTGCTGGTACCGTTTGGCCTCCTCTTCTGGTCCGAAGTATTGGGTTGTTATAAAGGTAGATCCATCACTGTTGTTTCCTTGAACGCTCCAAAAAACCTCTCCTTCGCATTCTGTTCGCCAGAACGTGTAGGAAAATACTTTGGCTGTTCGTTGGATTTTCGTACCGTAACGGATGTTGTAGTTATCTTCTTTTAGTTCTTCCGTGAACTTGGATAAAAGATGCATTTTGACAGTGTTTCGATATTGGTTCAATATGGAGAACTGTTTGGGTTGGGGTTTTGCGTTGGAGACTTGATTTTGCTGCTGTTACATCTTTGATTCTAGAAAATAAAAAAAAAATGATTGAAAATATCAGAAAATTCATTTGAATTATTTCAAAATTAATTCCAAATTCCACTAGTCGGTCAGCTTTCAGATTGTTTGCTTTTATCTGTTTTTTTTTTTAATTTTTAACCTAGATTATGAATTCCAAAAAGCAAATAAAGCTCTTTCAATATCCAGAAATGTTAGAAAAAAGCTCTTATAGCCATAAAAATTGGATAAAAGAGAGCTCATGCTCAAAGCTCGACTACTAACAAAATGCTTTTTTGTTTTAATATTAATTATTTTTGTTTTGTAGTTTATAATAAAAATATTAGACGTGAAATTTGAATGTCCAAAGATTAGAATGAAACCAATATATAATTGTAATAAGTCTTTTTTAATGTCAATCAAATCGTTCAAAAGTGACCGACAACTGGTGAAGCCGCCCTATCACGTTTAAACAAATTAGTCCTTTAATTTTTGTACTTATTCCAAAACTTTATAGGTACAGCTACTTAGAAAACTTGCTTTAAGCCTTTAAAAAATGAAACTATTTGTATTTATGGGGTCTTGGAACAAGCAAAACATTTCTAAAGAATGACAATTTTTGATAAAACCTTTGTATTTGGATAATTACAATGATACAACTAAAACCACCACATTCTACCAGTCTTCCTCTTCCTCATTTTGCAGCAAATTGTATAAGGATCGCATGAAAACGCAGAGCCATTGAATTGATGTTGAAATGCTAGGGTTGTAGGCACCTTTTCGTACCTTTTATTTTTCTATGGTTTTGTACTCGTACTGGTAGGTAGTGGTAATTAAGTGGTATAGATACAAGGCTTACTTATTATTATTATTTATATATACATATTTATTTTATATTATATATTAAACTCCACTTGTTGTTTTTTCGTTTTTTAAAGCAACAATATCGGTTTACAGGTTTACAGTTTTTTAGGATTTCTACATTGTAGTCTAGGTTACCTATATAATAAACGGACTATCTCTTTTCATCATGAATTACCTAGTTTATTATTTTTAAAGAATCTAACCTCTAGCCAGTAGACGGTCTAATAAATTTCTTCAATTTTGTCTTTATCCGCATTTCAATTTGTGGCCGACGCGACGGCCGACTACCGCTACTGGATTAGATATTCAAAATTCCAATAGGCGGCCAGCTTGTTTGCTTTTGTATTTTTAATATTTAACCCTTATTCTTGATTATGAATACCAAAAAAACAAATAAAATTCTTCCGATATCCAGAAGAAAATGTAAAAAAAATCTCTTATAGCCATAAAAAATTGGATAAATGAGGATAACAACTGGGTAAAAATGTAGACAGAGCACTCATGCCCAAAGACCGACTAATATCAAAACACTACTTTTTTAAAATAAACATTATTTTTGTTTTGTACCTACTTAGTTTATAATAAAAATATTAAAAGTAAAACTTGAATATCCAAAGATTAGAATGAAAACAATATATAATTAATTGTATTTGAGTAGGTACTACATTTTTAATAAGTCAGTCAAGTTCGTTCAGAAGTAGCCGACGATTGGCGAAGTCACCTTCTATCACGCATAACAATTTTTTTTAATTCTTGTACTTAGTCCAAAACTTCATGCACAGAAAACTTACTTCAAGCCTTTAAAAAATAAAATTGTTTACATTTATGGGGTCTGAACTCTGAACAATTCTAAAGAACACAAATTAATGATAAAACCAACCACCACCACATTCTCCAGTCTTCCTCTGCCTCATTTTGCAGCGATTTGTATTAGAATCGCATGAACACGCTGAGCCATTGAACTGATGTATAAATTCTAGAGTTGTACCATTGTACCTAGGTATTTAACATACAAGGCTTCGATTGTGTACATTTTATTGTGATAATGAACTTTATATTATTATTTATTTATTTATTGGCATATATTTATTTTATATCATATTAAAATTCACTTGTTATTATTTTGTTTTTTTTTAAGCAACAATATCGGTCAACAGTTTTATAGGTTTCTATTTGTTTTTATCAGTATTTGAATTTGTGGCCGACTACCGATTACTGGATTAGATATTCAAAAATGAATTCAAAATTCCAATAGGCGGCCAGCTTGTTTGCTTTTGTATTTTTATTATTTAACTCTTATTCTAGATTATAAATACCAAAAAACAAATAAAACTCTTCCGATATCCAGAAGGAAATGTAAAAAAAACTCTTATAGCCATAAAAAATTGGATAAATGAGGATGACATCTGGGCAAAAATGTAGACAGAGCCACTCATGTCCAAAGACCGACTAATATCAAAACACTACTTGTTAAAATAAACATTATTTTTGTTTTGTACCTACTTAGTTTATAATAAAAATATTAAAAGTAAAACTTGAATATCCAAAGATTAGAATGAAAACAATATATAATTAATTGTATTTAAGTAGGTGGTACTACATTTTTAATAAGTCAATCAAATTCGTTCAGAAGTACCCGACGATTGTCGAAGTCACGCATAACAATATTTTTTTTTATTTTTGTACTTAGTCCAAAACTTCATACAGATACATAGAAAACTTGCTTCAAGCCTTTAAAAAATAAAATTGTTTGCATTTATGGGGTCTTATCTCTGAACAATTCTAAAGAATACAAATTAATGATAGAACTAACCACCACCACATTCTCCAGTCTTCCTCTGCCTCATTTTGCAGCGATTTGTATTAGAATCGCATGAACACGCAGAGCCATTGAACTGATGTATAAATTCTAGAGTTGTACCATTGTACCTAGGTATTTAACATACAAGGCTTTGATTGTGTACATTTTATTGTGATAATGAACTTTATATAATTATTTATTTATTTATTGGCATATATTTATTTTATATCATATTAAAATTCACTTGTTATTATTTTGTTTTTTTTTTAAGCAACAATATCGGTCAACAGTTTTATAGGTTTCTATTTGTTTTTATCAGTATTTAAATTTGTGGCCGACTACCGATTACTGGATTAGATATTCAAAAATGAATTCAAAATTCCAATAGGCGGCCAGCTTGTTTGCTTTTGTATTTTTATTATTTAACTCTTATTCTAGATTATAAATACCAAAAAACAAATAAAACTCTTCCGATATTCAGAAGGAAATGTAAAAAAAAACTCTTATAGCCATAAAAAATTGGATAAATGAGGATAACAACTGGGCAAAAATGTAGACAGAGCCACTCATGTCCAAAGACCGACTAATATCAAAACACTACTTGTTAAAATAAACATTATTTTTGTTTTGTACCTACTTAGTTTATAATAAAAATATTAAAAGTAAAACTTGAATATCCAAAGATTAGAATGAAAACAATATATAATTAATTGTATTTAAGTAGGTGGTACTACATTTTTAATAAGTCAATAAAATTCGTTCAGAAGTACCCGACGATTGTCGAAGTCACGCATAACAATATTTTTTTTATTTTTGTACTTAGTCCAAAACTTCATACAGCTACATAGAAAACTTGCTTCAAGCCTTTAAAAAATAAAATTGTTTGCATTTATGGGGTCTTATCTCTGAACAATTCTAAAGAATACAAATTAATGATAGAACTAACCACCACCACATTCTCCAGTCTTCCTCTGCCTCATTTTGCAGCGATTTGTATCAGGATCGCATGAAAACGCAGAGCCATTGAACTGATGTATAAATTCTAGAGTTGTACCATTGTACCTAGGTATTTAACATATAAGGCTTCGATTGTGTACATTTTATTGCGATAATGAACTTTATATTATTATTTATTTATTGGCATATATTTATTTTATATCATATTAAAATCCACTTGTTATTTTTTCGCTTTTTTAAAGCAACAATACCGGTCAACAGTTTTCTAGGTTTCTGTTTGTTTTTATCGGCATTTGAATTTGTGGCCGACTACCCATTACTTGATTATTCCAAAATGGAATTATAATGAAAACGCCTTCATTTCCCAAGAACCTAAAAGTAAAAAATTACAAGACCATTACAAACTATAAAAATAATGTACAGGATGTTTCTATAAAATGTGTACATAATGCAAGCACAAATTTCTAAATGAATTCAAAATTCCATTAGTCGGCCAGTTTGTTTGCTTTTGTCTTTTATTTTTTTAATTTTTATTTTTTGTTCTGGATTATGATTGCCAAAAAAAAACAAATAAAACTCTTCTGATATTGAAATGAAAGAGGTTGGAGTAGGTAGTGTCAAGAACATATCTAGTTCACTAATCATCACTTTGTTCTCAATTTTATTGAACATCAAACATGACACTTCTATATTTCTTCATCACCTCCATTCAAGTTCTTGCGAATGTTCGATAATTTATTCAAAATGGGTAAACATTACCAACATTTATGTACCAACTTACAATAGGTTAAGGTGTGTTCACAGTTAGGTATCATAGTATCACAGATATCTTGAAGAAAATGTAGAAAAAATCTTTAAAGCTATAAAAAAATTGTTCTGTGTTTTATAATAAGAACATTAAAAGTAAAACATGAATGAGAATGAGATTAGAATAAAATTGGATCACAAATATTAGAATAAAGCCATATGTAAAGTAGACACTATTTTTTTTTTGTCAATCAAGTTCGTTTAAAAGTGACCGACAACTGGAGAAGTTACTTACTCTTATCACTTAGTCCAAAACTTCATACAACAACACAGAAAATTTGCTTCAAGCCTTTGAAAAATTAATTTTTTTATAGTCCTAGAAGAAGCAAAACATTTCTAAAGAATGATAATTTTTGACAAAATTAAAATTTTTATTTTTTGTTATTTTGAGATCAAATCGTTGTTTTTTAAAATCATAATTAAAATCTTATATTCGATCTATCCAAAACCATCATAAGTCAAGCACCACAATTCTCCATTCTTCCTCATTTTGCAGAAATATGTCTCAGGATTGCATGAAAACGCAGAGCCATTGAATTAATGTTGAAATGCGAGGGTTGTATTGGTAGTAGTATACATACATCAATTGTGGAATTTTTA